TTATTAAAATATTTATCAAATATTTATTATATATGAAATAAAATAAATATAACTTTAACTTTTATGTAATTAACAAAAATATTTATAGAATTATTATATATAATTTTTTCTTCCAAGAACTAAATATATTAAATAATAATTAGAAGGGTACTCGTGCAATACGACGAGATAAATCTCGATTTTGATATTTAGTTTTTATTATTTGTCTATATCAATATAATACGATTTTATGTGGTTTTAAGAAAGCGGTAACTTAAAATGGATGCTTATTTTGTATTTGATTATGTTTATCAGCAGTTAGTTACATGAATTTAAAAATGAAGCATTAATAAGTTGTATTTACGTAAAATTACTTATAATATTAAATTTTAAGTAATATGCATCAATAAACAGTATTTCATGCATAAAAAATATTTTTTAAGAGTTTTTGTCAAATGCTTTATAATATAGTATAAATTATTTTTGGTTTAATAATATAATTTTTTATAAATATTATTATTAAACATTATGTTAGAACTTAATGATTATCTTAATTATATTTTAAATTTTTTATATTTAAAATAAATGTTTATCCCGTATTTGATTATTTTATTATCAATTAATTACGTAAATTTAAAAATAAAGTTTTAATAAATTATATTTACATAAAATTATTTATAATTGTTATCTTAGATATATTTTTATGAACTTTGGATATAAACAATACAGCCAATATTAAAAAGATGTATATTTGTACAAATTTCACACAAATGAAAGCAAAATACTCCAATATTTAACCCTCAATATCAATTTCTCTTTGGCCATTCCCAGCAACTTGCCCCTTTTTCTCTTTCCAATCGTTCAACATCAAAAAAATTACAGGTAGAGACAAAAACCCTAATTCTCCACCATCATCATCATTTCAGTCTCGCATATACATACACATATATAATTACAATAATCCCATTGCGCAGAAATTTATTTATATTTTGCCCTTACATTCATATGTCTTCCATTGCTGTTCTGCTCCATCATCTTCGTGCTCGTAGTGCCAGTAGTTCATCCGCACAACGGCAGTCTTCTGTTCCTCATCATGGTCACCACTTCTCCAGCTTCTCCTTGAGCTTTCTTCCGTTCTTATCTCCTCAAGATGACTGACCACAACGTAAATTCCTTTTCTTCTTTCTGTCTATATGGATTTTTTATGTGATTAGCTCTAATTTGTTGTAATATCACTCTCAATTACTGTTGTTGTTGGTGTTTTTGTACTGAACTTGTAGAATTCCTTGAACGATGAAAATGTTGGGTTTTTAGGTTTAAGTTCTACGATTATAAAGTGTTACTCCGTTCGACCCAAAAAAATCGACTTCGTACAACGAAGTGAATTTTGATCATTAAGTTCGTAGTCATTTTTAAAGGACAAGGATAGTCGTCTACGTCTAAGAGGCTACATGGTTGGTTTTCTTTGAAGTCCTGTGTGAATAAAGCTATCATTGTGGATTAATTTGTCTGTAGGGGAGGGTTTCCTCATGGATGGATGGAGTCTGCCTTTTCAATTGGGATGGACAGGCTTGGAAAAAAAACTTAAGCTTTCTGCATAAAACTTTCCCCTGGAATCTTATTGAATAAGCCACTTTCTATGTCATTAAGCCACTACCAAACAATCATGTATAGATGACCGGATAGTCTGTGAGTCATATTAGGCTCATTAAGCTGCTAACAAACAAACCCTAACTCTATTCCGGAAGGGGGGATGTGAAAAAGGCTACACTTTGATTTGTTTGGAACCTAGTAAGTTTCAAATAATTCATTCTACAAACTGAGTTCTTTCCTATTGCAAAATTGGTATGGATCCATCAAAACTTCATCCCCTATATGTTTCTATTGTTGATAAAGTTAGTTACCAACCTTCTCTTGAAGTCTTGTCACTCCTGACTTTTGGAAATTAGCCCCACTGAAACAAAAGTAGGTTCTATCTTTGCTTTTGTAAGACAGGTACTATTATCTTTCTTTCAATCTGGAAATGGACTTGTAGGTCTCCCAGAGTGCAAAAATTTTATGCTTGTCTACATTTCTAATAATGTTTCCAGCATTTGTCCTCAAGTTCAGTGCTCCTTGCATGCTGTTCTTATTGATTGTAACTTCAGCGTAACATATTTTTGACAAATTAGATAACCATTCCTCTCATAATTTTAAGTAATTTGGTTCAGTTGTTCAAATAACAATATTTTGGATCTACTAAAAATCATTCTACAGAATTATTGGCATAATGCTTTTGGATTTTTCTAAAATTGTTTTGTTACTCACAATATTTTTGCAGATTCCAAGTACGCAGCCACTTTGAAATGTTTCTGTTTTCTCATCGAAAAACTTTACTAGATTCCAACTGATTGAACACATGTACTGGAAGTAATTTTGTTTCCATTCATTTTAATGAATACATTTTTTTGGGGAGGGGGGAGGGGTTGCGGAGGGATATGACTCCTTTTTACTTGGAGGATTAATATATCTGTCATTGTTTGGTTATACTTCTTATTTGTACATGATGCTTTAAACAAGTCAGTATATATTAAACAAAATAATTATAATTTAATAAATGCATAGACAACGTTACTGAAAAGCATTTCATGAATGTATTTCTGCGCGATGATATAAGGTAAGACGGTCAAGATTGGCATCTATCCATGTTCTTCTTCAAATGTCCAAGGGTGATCTGGGACCTTGTTCTTATGTGTTTCTAAAGTTTGAATTTTAACCTTTGGTTTTTAGGACTTCTCTATTTCTTAACCTGTGTTTATCTTATGTAAATTACCCTTGTTATCCATTATACATATATATTTTTCAACACTGTCAGGTGTTCGTGTTCGGATCATTTACAGAGGATGAGCTTAAATCCCTGCAAAGTTCCCCAAAAGAGAATGATGTAGAATTTATGTTTGGTTCTCTGGACTCTGCAACTCTGAGATCTGTGGGCATCTTCAACAATAGACCAAGTGAGATAGAAATTGCCAAAAAACATCAAACATCACAACTGGTAAACAAAAGGAACACTGATGAAATTGTTCATACTACAGCAAAAGCATCACAAAGCCTTGTCTCGGTTGTACATAAAAATGGAAATATTCATGATTCAAGTTCTCTTTCCTTTACTAAGGGTATAAGCGAACAGGAACGAAAAAGTTCAGAACTACCTTTATCATTTGTACCCGGAAGTGTTGGTGAACCTCTAGACCAGTCACTACAGCCTTATGGCACTGAATCTGTGACTCTATCATCTACGAGTCTAGGAAATGAAGCTCCTGTCAGTTCGTTTGAAGCTCTGGACTTGATAGATACCAAAAATAATATTTTCAATGCATCAAATGGACTGTATACAACTGCAACAGAGTTACTACCTCGAGGTTTAGTCAACTCAGGAAATTTGTGTTTTCTAAATGCAACTCTTCAGGCTCTTCTTGCTTGTTCTCCCTTTGTACGTCTCTTGCAGGAGCTAAGAATGCGCAATATACCCGAGGTAAGACTACAATTTTCTTCATTCTTGTGATTGTGGTGCAGTTCAAGGACAAGTAAGAGGTGTTTGTGTGTGGTATATTATTGGAATTGTGCTCACCAACTTTGTGTTTTTCCTCATTTTCAGATTGGCTACCCAACTTTACGTGCATTTGCTGAATTTATATCTGGTTTTGACATGCCATCTGACCTGCACTCAAAGAAAAAAGATGATATTCTTTTGGAAACTGGGAAACCTTTGCGACCTGTCATGTTTGAATCTGTTCTGAACAATTTCTCCCCTGACATGCCAAATAGCTTCTTGGGCAGACCAAGGTTTGTGTTTATGTTGCATTATTCTTACTTTGGTGCATATTTAGCTAAAACATTTTATTTATTTATTGTTGCATTGGCACATTTCAGACCTTAGAAACTTTTTCTACTTTCATTTTTCTTCCTGCTTTTTACCCATTTACCTCCTTTGGCTTTTCTGTAATAATCTTTTACTTTTGATTCAGCCAATCACATACAGATTAGTTTTGATTCTAGAAGCTTGAGACACCATGATTTTCCCTTAGCTAGGTGGGTAGTGCAGACAAAACATAGTTCTGATGCTTCTTTTGTGGCATTCACAAGCAAAATAATCTCCAACATGCTTCATTGATTTTATTCTATAAAATTTTGTGATAGCAAGTTGACCTAATTTCGTCTTTAATCACCAACTAGTGGGCATCTACTTCTGTCTCAAAATACATGTGCTCCTCCCCTTTTAGTTGTCCACACAAATAAGTGTTTTCATTTCGGAAAGAAATAACCATCCTACTCGCAGCAAGAAAGCTCTGAGTTCAGATTGAATTGATGACTTCAGGGAAACAAAGATCGTAGTTAAAATGCTGATTAGGTTTTCCACACCAGAAACTTTGATTCTCTTGGTCTTGGATCATCACCAAAACTTTTATCATGTTTGAAAACGATTTTTGTGGTATTTCTAGTACCTTAAGTATGGGAAGGGGGGATTAAAGTTGTTTCACTGGTATTTTTCGTGAATGTTATACATTTTTAGTGGACACTGAACTCCCGAGAACATTACAACAAAATGGGTGAATGTCTTTGCAAAAACGAAGGTCAAAAAGAAAACAAAAATAGAAGAAAAAAACGAGTGAACTATGAACAGTGGTATACTGGTATAATGTAGATGGGTTTGTAAATTGTACTGTAGGGGAGCATATGCTAGTGGCATTTTCTCTTTTATTATTTACGGTTACATTTGGATATTCGTGTGAATAGTTTCTCTATCATATGTTATAAATATGCATTTATAGTTCTTAATTTCATGTGTATTTACTTGGTGAATAAGCTTTCTGTATGTTGCCAATTTGCCATCTCGTGTGCTGAGTTGAAGTATTTCAGGCAAGAGGATGCTCAAGAATTCCTAAGTTTTGTCATGCATCAATTGCATGATGAATTACTTAGATTTGAAGGAGAAATTTCCATTGTTAATGGGGGGAAAGTTTCATTGGTTTCGTCGGTGAGTGACGAAGATGGTGATAGTTGGGAGACGGTTGGGCCGAGGAACAAAACTGCAATTACAAGAACACAGAGTTTTATTCCGTCAAAATTAAGTGAGATTTTTGGAGGCCAATTGCGAAGTGTTGTGAAGGCAAGAGGTAAGTCAGTTTTGTTGCATCCTTTGTCTTTGTTTTTATTTCTGGGCATGAATTTTAGATAAATGTCATTTTTTTTATTGTTTTTAAGTGCTTATATATGCATACATATGTTCATATGCATGTGTGCATATTTTGTTGCTAGAACAAGAGAAGGCGCTGTGCACTTGCTGAATAACTATCTAGATTTTTGCTGTATCTTATAAACAAGGATTCTGAGCCTGTATATGTCTATGTGAGTGTAAACAAGTCAAATTGAGCTGAAAAGTAAGATACTTGAGTTCATGCCAATTGGATACAAATATTGCTTGTATTCGGTTCAAACTTAGGATATGATTTAGCTAGCATGCTCATTTTTAACTCAAGATATGCTTGCTAGGCCCAATTTGCATCTAGAGCACTATTTGAGTTCGAATTCAAAACTAGTTCAATTTGCAAAGTGTGTATTCTAACATAGCTAACTTGGTTTATGTTATTTCAATATAACACTGCAGAATAAAGGTCTTGCACCTTTTATATGCCTGAAAACATTTATATAGCAGTGTGCAGTTCTGTACTGCATTCAGTTTCAGTCTCAAAATAATCCAAATAAAAAGAGAAAATATGATAAAACAAAGCCTGTTTATTCAGATTTAGAGGATTATAACTTAAAAGATAGGAACTGCACTATTAAAGTAAATTAATTATCAAGTTCACCTATACTTCTTACGGGGTGTACTTGATATCTTCTGGCAACAAAGTACTACTTATCTATGACATGAAGAATAGTGGAAGTACTGAAGACGATTCTCATGATAGTAACCACATTAAAAATTAGTCTAGGGCCATATTTTGTGTAAAGTTCAGCATGTTCCTCCTGCTAGTGTTCCTGTGCAAGTTGACAGCGGTTACTGCTGCAGTTCTTATTGGTGTAGGTGTCTTATTCTTTCTAAATAGAGGTCTAAAAACCACAATTTCTTTCTCCTTTTGAATTTTTATGTTCCATGTCCGAATGTTGGATATTAGAGAAAATTTGTTTCTTTCTTCTCTTTCTCTCTTTGGGGTATTCTCTGAGAGCATCACAGGCTTACTATATAATATATATGTATGTATGTGTATAGATATACAGGTGAAGGTTCAAATAAGAATGGCAAAAAGGTTTTGAGAACGTATGAATTAAAGATTCATATGTGCATCATTGCTAAACCTGAAAAAATCCATTTGAAGATGCATATGGGAACCAAGTTTCCTTTTACCAACGATTCACATATGAGTCATTTATTCGTACGTCCATACTTTCCATTACTTCTGCATAATATGGAAATCAGTTTTACAGTTATGTTCAGGATTTTCTCATCATCTTTCTTTTGGCTGTTCTTTTCCTTCTTTGTAAGGCAAATTTTGTTTCTTCCAGTATAACATGTTATATTATAAATCTAAATAGGTAACAAAGCCTCAGCTACTATACAACCATTTCTTCTGCTCCACCTTAATATATGTCCAGAGCCTGTCCGTACAATAGAGGATGCACTTCATCTTTTTTCTGCACCAGAAACACTTGAAGGGTACCGGGCATCATCAGCAGGAAAGGTACCATACTTGTAGTTTGTACAATGTTTGTCTTACTGTGATTCATTCTTCCATTTTTGCATCACTTGGCTATCGTATTTGTTTTCCATTTGGTTAGTTAGTATGCCATATGTGTTATAGTTGAACAGGACCTTAGTTAAGTTCTTCATGTACCTCTACAAAACGGACTTCACCCTTTTATGCATGTATGAGTACATGACTGAATTCCCAGCTTAGTGGATATTTAAAGAGTTCGAGAAGGATTCAAGCAAGCAGGAAAAAAATATATATAAAGCCTTATGGGGAAGTTGCTTAAGTGAGTCAGCATCAAGGTTCAAAACAGCGTGAGGCGTGTCAAGCGACCTCAGGCCTTAAGCCTTAAGCGCCACGGCGAGGATGCGACATTTTTTAAGCCGTGACATAAGGCGGCAAATTTGTATGACATGTATATAATTTTTATATGTATACATATATGTTTTCTATTTATTATTCAATAATATAATGCTATTAAAATTTTACCATTAATATAAATTAATTAGTATTATATAAAAAGTTTGTAATTAGATCTTCAAAATAGAACTTGGAAGGGTTTTACAACTTCGTTTTAATCGTGACATGTGTGAACCCAAGAAACTGTGAGCGATGCGATTAACTAAGTTTTTAAAAATATTAAATTTAAAGGTAAAAGTTTAAAAACACAAAAGTTAACGAAAATAATAAAAAAAAATTGAAAAAAAAATCACGTCTTGTAAAAAACTCGCGCCATGGTGCGTCTCAAGGTGCTATAGCGTTAGCCACGCCTTACACAAATGCTATGGGCTGTTTCGTAACGACAGAGACGCGTCTTACTCCATGGTGCGCCATGACGCATGCCATGGTCGCCTTTTTGAACACTGGTCAACCTTACCTTTAAAAGGGAAATGATCCACCAAAGAAATGGGAAATCTTAGATTCCTTAGTTTTCCAATGGAACTTGATAACTGGAAATATGTTGCCTAGTTGAGCATATTTGAGAAACTTACATGGCTAAAACAAAGAGACAGCAGTAGGGGATGTAGGGCTCGCCTGTCCATACCCCTAGGGCCCTTGAATATTCACATTGTCATCACTCTGTTTATTTTTTATGCTTGTCGCTCTTACTAGAGTACATAGGAGATTACGCATGCCAAAAGAGAATTTAGGAGGGAAATAGAAAACTACCAAGTTATCACAACAGTTTTTTAGTTGAAGGAATCATAAGATACTACAGGGCAGCCTTACTTAGAGTGTCTCTTTAAACAACTCATGAACTATGAGGATGACGTCCGATCTCCCACAGATGGCTGACTGACGATCACTTTCTGGGATCAGGCAGCTTTATTTAAGGACAGCTAGTAGACTGACCTAATATAATTGCTATTATCATATGCATTTTTGAGGCATTGGAAAAAGAGAATTGGGGTAAGTATAAAGTATGGAAACATATCACTAGCATATGCACAAATCACTTTCTTTTTCTTGCTTACACACTTTGTATTTATAAATTAGTTGAACAAACAGTATAATGTTACAAGTTGAGAGTAGATTTTATTGGCACCAATAAGGAGTAGCATTTGATGCAGCGGTTTGCAATTTAGTTTGTTTAGTTTGTGCCTTCCCAATTTGCACCAAGTCAAATAAGATGACCTAATTTTTTTCAAGTGTAGGAGTATTTCGTAAATATGTTAAGAGTTGACAGAAGATAAAGTTAGATTTTTCCCAAAGAGATTACCGATGTAGGTATCTTTTCTAGTAGACAACTGATTGAGAGGCTTAGGGGGAATGAGAAGGATTAACACATGTTTTTCAATCTAAAGAATGGTAGGGTGCTGAAATAGGTGATAATGGTATATTGGGGAATTTAGAAGAAGAAAATCCTTATAACATTCTTAATGCTATTGAAGAGTGTAGAACACTGAACACGTAGCAATGAGTGTGGAAGCATGAAAAGTTGATTAGACGGATGCTTTGCTTGCTATAAAATTGCATATTTTTTTCCTTCTGTTATGGATGAGTTGCTATGAGCCATACAAAATGGTATACTGTACCATGGGATATACTTCTTGGATATCATATTGTGCTAATTGATTAGAGTGGACGATATTCTAATGCAGAGTTGGAGGTCCGGGATAACCATTGGAATGGAAAGGTTTAGATTAACATGAGATATAGGAAGCTGGATCTCCCTACGGGATTAAGCAATGTTAAACAAAAGATGTAGTCATATGCGGATGTGAAGTAACCATTGAAGGTACCTTTTGGCTTTTGGAAAAAAGATGGCGAGACCAATGAGCATTTTAGTCATGGCTATTGCAAAGTGGATGAAATTGGACAGCGTTGGGAGTCTTGTGCGATCTTAAGTTCTTGAGCTCAGGGGTAAGTTCTAAGAATGGTGGTATCAGAACATTGAGCTATCAAAAGGGAACATGTACACAAGATTGTAGTATACAACAGTTGAGTGGATGTGTGGCTGACAGCAAGACAGAATCATGACACAAAGAGAAGATTGGAGCAACATGGGTTTTGGTCATCTCCAACTTAGATGATTGCTCCAGTTACCAATTGATGTCATAATTGGAGGTGGGGACAAGATTAACATGGGAGGAAATAGCGAGAGATTTGCATGATTAAAGTAGAGGTGTTGGCTTCATATAGGAGTGCATGGTCACGATGTCCTTCAACCCTAGGGAATTCACTTTTTTACGTTTGCTTTTACATTTCACAGTTTATAATTCTTTTGGTTTCACACTATTAGCCTATCCTTAGTCCTCTACTAGTTTGAGGTCGGCTTTCTCAGCCTGAAAAGCAGCTCTTAGTTAGCACCCTAACAAGGTATAGTTCTGGACTGCACTCTTTCTTCTACCAACTATGATTAGTTCATTTGATCAAATGAAAGGCGACTTTGGGATTTATGGATCACGTACAAATCATAAGGCAAAAATGAACAAATGTATCCTAGCTGCTGCCCAACTCCTTATTTGTGTTAGAGCCCTACATGTTTTGATCATTTTGACTGGATTAATATATGTGGGGCGAGTCTCCTAGTGGGTACCCTTTGTTATTTCAAAGACACCATGTAAGGCAGTGGGGAGCAGTTAACTTGCAAATACTTTGTTAATTTCATAAGAAGTATCCTCCACACCCCAGAATAGGTTTTACATGTTATATTTTTCCTGTTAGCCCATAAGAATCAGACACCCATATGAATGTTGATGGATGTTCATATTTGGGTATTTCCTGGCAGCTCACTCATGAATCTTTCGAGGACCAATCTTGCAAGGCTGAATACTTCCAGAGATAGATGGTCAATGGCTTTTGAGGAAGATATCTCTGTTTTGCCTATTTCCATTTCTTTAATATCCTGTTGATGTCACCGCATAACAGATGTCAGATTGACTGATCTTACTTGATAAACTGAGGAGTCTATAAACAACTTTGCTGACAATTGCATATACTTTGTTTGGTCAGAGCTGCGAGTGGAGAGATGACCGGTTGAGGGTTGTATGGAAGCAAAAATAATTCAACTTGTTTTCTAACTTACACTTTTTGTAAGTAGTCATTAGGCATTATTATTGTACACACGAGAACTTTCATTCAACATTAAGTTAAGAATGTCATCTTCATTCTAACATTTTTCTTTAATAAAGTAGAATAGCCTATATTGTGCACCAGACTCCCACTGTTATGGATTCTTAAAGTTACATAAAAAATTAAAGCAATAAAAGGTGAAAGGTGCTTTTAGGTAGAAGCATCACCCTTGTTGCATCTTCATTTTGGCATATACTGGCTTTTAACCCATTATAAAATGCAGCTTTTCGTTTACCAAACACCGTTTACTTCTCAAAAGGTGCTTAAAAGCATACATGCAAACCCCAAATGCTCTTAAAAGTAGCAAATGCTTTTCCTAAATATATTATGCAAAGGGAATCTAAAATAGCAGGCCAATTGGAAGCTTTCATGGTGGAGAAAAGAAATGCCTGAGCCACGTTCTTTTTGGTTTTTTAGGCACCCATGTTTTTTTGTTTTAGGTCGTTTACTCTTTAGACATATGACGAAGGATCGTTTGAGAATAGGAGTTGAGATAAGAAGCGTAAGAAGGGATTTGAACCCTTGATCACTTTTAATCCCACCCCACCCCACCCCATGAATTGTGGGTGCATCTCTGTGCATCTTATTACTGTTGATCTTCAATTAGGATTGATTCAAGGGTGAAGATCCCTTTTTACCCTTCTCACCATAACTTAAACATATATTAATATGGCAGACATTACCATTAAAATAAATGACTGAATTTTATTATAAAAAATCCATCGACTTGTAAACCTATATTGAACATGGTTGTGTTGGCATCGCATGATTGCAAAAGTTATAGCTAAAGTGATTGTTACCGTGGTCCTGTTGTTGGTGACACTACTCTAAATGAAATGTTTTCATCTTGTGATCAGGCCGAGTTAGTTAGTGCAAGCAAATCTGTTAAGATATTAGAGCTTCCGGAGATTATAATATTGCACTTGATGCGCTTTAGCTATGGAAGCCAAGGGAGCACCAAATTACTAAAGCCAGTTTACTTCCCTCTGGAGCTGATTCTTAACCATGAGCTGCTTGTTTCGCCATCAACAGAGGTATCATGATCCTTGGTTCTTTTTTACTAGCTGTTTCTTAATCTAACAGATCTAAAAGCTACTGGTATGACTTTTTTGGATCCCTTTCGATTTATAATTCTGCCCTATGGGTGTTTACTGTTTATTGTGCTCTTTAGCTTGCATCATATATAAGGAATTATATATATATATATATATATAGAGAGAGAGAGAGAGAGAGAGAGAGGCCCCTTCTTTTACAAACCCAATAATTCACACAAACTTACAAATCAACATGTGAAATAACACGTGTGAAAATGCAGTATTTATATAGTGTTGTTTCATATATGAAACATTCAGTGCCGTCTACATATGACACAACCCTGAATAAACACTACTGCATTTTCACACTTGTTTCACATGTGAAACAAATCATGAGAACTAGTTTGTAAGTTTGTACGATTCATTCGGTTGAAATGATCATGCATCTATGTATATGTATTTATATGAAATAGCTACATTTCTTATTTAGCATGACCTAGTGGAAGTGTTTGGCAATTAGTAAAATATCTATAAAATAGCTACATTTCTTATTTAGCATGACCTGTTGGAGTCCCATATTGATTAGACTAGAATCATTTTTCCTCTATATATATTGGAACCTTCTTTCGCTCCTTAAGGGCTCTTTTGGAAGAGATTCCACATATCCTTACACACATGGACAGAAATCAATGCTATCAACAAGGTAATTTTGGATCAACGCTTAGCCAAGTGAGCAATATGAATTTATTTTAAAAAATCCCCAAAAAGTTATAGCATTTATTTAACGGCTGACGGGAAAAAACACATACATGAGAAAAAGGATTACATCTAATGTTCTTACAAAAGATAATCATATACAGGGTCGTAGGTATGAGCTTGTGGCAACAATAACTCATCATGGGAGGGAGCCTTCAAAGGGTCATTACACTGCCGATATCCTGCATCCTAGCGGCAAGTGGCTGCATTATGACGACGCCTCAGTTATCGCTATTCCTACCACCAAGGTACTTCATGACCAAGCTTATGTCCTCTTCTACAAGCAGCTGTAGGTTTTTATGCTCCCTCCCATTTTTCATTCTACACAAGTGTACCATGTAGTAGAAGAAGACATGTTACTGCATTTTTCTGTTTCGAAAGCTTATGGTAATATGTCGATTTATATTTTGTTACCATTACTAAAAAATACTCGGGAACTGTTTTTCTGGGAAATCTTGTGTATGGCGGCCTCATAGGAACAAAAGGCAGAGTTTATTTATGATATGTGATCTCCATTTACAGAGGATGATCTTGGTTCATCAAACTGAATTATTTGTTGGTTCTTTAGTTGGGTTAGTATGTAATGAAGCATATTTTGGATTGAAGTTTGATGCATTTGAAATCTGTTTTTGTGCTTTTGTCTTTGATGTTAAGGGTGTGTTTGGTATACAAACGTAATACGATTGGAATGGATAGAACTGGATACGTGAGAATGAGGTAAAATGGATGAAAGAATTGTGAAGGTTTTTGGGATCTAATTTGACAAGGGTAATTTAGTAATTTATTAATTATGTCTCATCTTTCTTATTTTTATTCCATCTATTTTGGTAGGAGGAAATGCATTTGTATCTCACTTAAGTCTTGTCATGTCCCAATGTTGGTTGTCGTGTCAAATGTGAGATAACGAGTTTTTATACTGATGCATAACAAACATACCTAATGGATGTTGTTAAGCACATTTGTGATTAATAATAAAGAGCGGGTGACACAATTGACCCAAAAACCGCTTTTCTTATGACTACTTTATATTCAAGGCCGTGTTTGACATATAAACTAGTTTATGTTTTGAGCTTGTTAAAAAGGCCTAGTTTGGATGACCGTAATTAATACATTATGTTATTTAGTTTTCCTTGTCATCTGGTTTGTATTAGTTAACATATTATATAATTAATGATTTGCTTTAATTACATTGTGTAATATTAAAATTTACTAATTTTATAACGTGTCTTTTTTGGTCATTTTACATTTATCAAGTAGTTCTCATCTAGTTTTTTTTTTACATGATTAGTTCATTATTCAGCTTATCAATCAACAGTTGGTTTATTAGCTAGTTTGTTAAACATAACCTACATATTATTATTTTGATAATGAATAATTGTAATTACAACCAATTTACCTAAATGCTCAAAATTGATACTGGAAATTCAAACCGTAACAATCAGTTTAAATGTATATCCAAACAGGATCCAAATCAGATGGATTGAATTCAAATACAGAAGTTTTGAGTTTAAACCACCAACAAAATTTAAAAGAAATTGTTCGCTTCATATCCTTAATGTGTTTAGATCAAGTTTTTAGGTTTAACAACATAAATTCTTCATATCCTTATTGTGTTTAGATCAAGTTTTTAGGTTTAACAACATAAATTCATGGTCTCGATAAAATATTTAGGGGTCGTTTACTAAATGCTTATCCGGGTAAGAGTTTATCAAGTCACATTGTCTTAACGGATGCATATGACAAGAATCAAGAATCTTACTGGTAAGAGCGAAAGCAAGGACCAAGAGTCTTATCCGGTAAGTGAATGTAACAACTCTTACCATGATTAGTATTTACTGGGTAAATTATTGCGTAGGATACCGTTTTCGTTAATTAAAGTCTTACCAGGTAAGTAAATGAATAGTGTTAGTTTTTACCGGTAATCACTTACCCGAATAAGCATTAGGTAAGCAGCCCCTTAGTCTTTCTGCTCATTATTGATCGCACATAACAATTATTGTACCTTCATTTTAGTTGTATACATTTAATAGTTAGCCGATCCAACGATTATAGATTTGTAGCTTATCACTTTGGTTTTTAGCGGTTGGGTTTTCGTCCATCTATGTTTAGGCAACATAAATAAAAGGATGAAAACAAATGCTTAAGTGTATTCATTAACATTATATTTTGCTGTCTACATCAATTCATATTACAGAAAAAACATCTTATTAAAAAACTTGACGCTGACATTAAACTATAATATTAACAGTCACAAAACTATATCATATCAAGGGAAAGTCCCTGAAGCAAATATGGGAACAAATGTGTTTTAATTTCTGGCCTTAGCACATACCATCAGATGAATCATGGACTAAACAACCACGACCTAATAAGACTGCGTCCACGATACTTTAAAGCACAACGCAAGCTACAAGAAACGCTTTTGTCGTTTGATGAAGGAGCACCCACTATCCATTACTCAACCTGATTGCATTTGTTCTTCTCCTTCTAATACTCCAGGTCTCCAATAAATATAGGTGAAACTGATCCGATCGTGTAATCAATTGGATGCAGCGGCAGAATGTTAAACTATCCCCTAAATAAACTCGAATAGATGACTAATAAATAGTTGTTTTTTAAACATTTTAAAATTGAATAACTTGCATAAAACTTTTAGGTCCCGTTTGCATAAAACTATTCTCATGTTTGGTTTGTTGGATTGTCCGGGTTTAAAATCCTTCAAACATAGGATTTTGAAATCCTTAGCGAGTGCTCAGGATTGTATGCAATAAGGTTTTAAAAAAAATTAAAAACATTTGTTTTGTAATAATTAATTAATAAAAATGTAATTCAATTATTTTTATATTTATTTATAATTTTTTTCTATAAATTATTTATAAACAATGAAATTCAATTTCATTCCAAATCTTACAAACCAAACACACCAATAATATCAAATTTATTTCAATACAAATCTCTACAAATCTAAATCCTTTCATATCAGGTTCAAATCCAAAAAGAAACAAAAAATCATCTTGTAGCCACGGAGGTTCAAATGCAGTGACGCGAGACTACTTGCAAAACAGGTGGTCGTCCTATGATTAGTTAGCTCGCATACCGAGTTGGATACTCAAGTTAATAAAAAAAACATTCCTTCATAAAATCCAAATCTCTAGTAAATAATTCTCCAAACCAAGTGTACCTTTACAATAATTTAAGGGGTGGGCTAAATGCACCCCTATGCATTGCTTAATGCACCCCTATCCATGAATTTCTTCCTCACACACATCAACATCAATACATATTTTTTACATTCCCAATGCTTGAATGACCCGATTCTGACATGAAAGGGGGTGCCATTAACACTCCCCTAATTTAACAAGGGGAGTGCTAATGGCACCCCTTAGTAGGGGGTGTTGATTTTCTTGAAAATTGAACCCATCAAGTTTTTCATAAACATCAACTCAATAATCATATATTTATATTTTATTAATTTTGTTTTATTTTATATATTTACATTAGAAAAATATATATTATTTTATTATTTTTATGTTATTTTATTATTTACAAATTA